AAACAAGTTCCTTTTATTTGTCATAAGCCTGCTTAATTACCGTGTCAGACAACTGCTTTGGGTCTCCAGAATTTAAACAACTGCCAGGTACCTGCTTCATAGAAACAGAAACGCAACTCTATGTAGATACTCACTATGAATATTTCACAGGACACTGGCATTAAATTAGTGACTAAAGACGGAAGCCAAGAAGGTCATCTGCTCAGATGTCGCACTGAAACTATCTCCACATTCACCCCTTACACTCAAGCTGGAGTCTAAACGCTGGCCTCTCCTCACAGAGGCTCCCACCCCTACGCTGCCCCTCAGCAACTGCCGGCTCAACCTGTCTGCAGAGAATGTGAGCATCCTGGGTGCCAGCCCGCACAGACCCATTACGCTGTAAATGGATTTTATTTGCTGAACAAATGTTAATGCCGTTCTGCGTTAATGGATAATGCTACGAAAAGCACCTAAGTACTATAGCACTGGAGGCTTTAAGGGTGAAATATTGTGTAACTTAGAAAACTGTCTGTTATAAACATATGTCAGCCACGAGGGCTTCCAGCCCTTATCACCCATCTTCATAGCACTCACTTGTAATGTCTCCCTCAGTTAAGTGAATTTTGCAATAATACACAGATTTATTAAGTCCCAGGATTAAAATGCTCTGAGTAAAAATAAAAAATAATTACCCTTTAGAACATAATGTAATATTTAAACGACTTGGAAACAATCACCTCAGCAAAAAATAAGAGAGAGGAGAGAAAAAAAAAGTTTAAAAATAAGGTGGGAGCTTGGCTGGGTGGCTCAGTTGGTTGGAGCACCGTTCCGTACGCCAAAAATATTGCAGGTTTGATACATAGCTAGGTTTTGGGTTTGATCCCCAGTTGGGGCGTGTGTGGGAGGCAACCAGTTAATGTTTCTCACATCAGTTCCCCTCTCCTCTCTAAAATCAGTAAAAGACATATATACTCAAGTGAGGATAAGAAAATAATAATAAGGTTGGTAACATTGCCCATAAGACCTCTGTGAGTTCAAGTGCACAAACACATGATCTGGCACTTCTGAATCACAAATCCATAAAAACGAGAAACCTCCCATTCACAGTAAAATGCTCGAGTGGTTTCATTAATAAACTGAGGAGGGGGGTGTTTCCTAATTTAAAACACCACAGTTGTTAAGGGGGAGGGGGTGCTGGTGCCAGATAGTGCTTGTTAAAAGCCCAGCTCTACCACTTACTAACTCTGTGACCCTGGGCAAACTAGTTTACCTTCTTGCCTCAGTTTCTTCATCTGTGAAATGGGAATGCTAGCAGTGCCTCCCTGTGGCCAGTTGTGATGGTTCAATGAGTGAACACATGCAAGGTCTCACGCATCATGAATGTTAGCTCTTTATCATTTGGTAGTTGTTATGTTGGATTTACTGCAAATGAAAAGGGATCTGAGTGCAAACTAGAGCCTTTCCTCACAAGAGGTTTCTGAACTCACCGACTCCATTTCCCCAAGTCTGGATTCCACCCAGTCTCTCCACACAACCGGCACTGAAACAAGACACCAATGACCTTTTGTCACTCGTCCAATCCACGGGGTGGTTTCAGATCCTTGTCTCTCTTGTCCTCTTGGAAATTCTGAGCACTGTTGAGCCTGAGACTCTCTTTCCATGGCTTCCGTGACTTCTCACTGCCACAATTTTCCCTTGGTGTCTCTGGCCACTCCCTCTCACCTCCACTGGCCAGTGGGTCTTCCTTTCCCCGACCTTTAAATGTTGGCTTTAGACTCTCATTGCTTCTCGGTCTCTAGTGTCTCTCTGGGCAAATTCACCCATTTCTGTTACCAACATGCTAATTCATCCAAAATGTTGGTCTACAGCTCAGACCTCTGTTCTGAGCTCCAGACCCATGAAGGTTCATTTATATTCTCCATGTTACTGGAATATCTCAAAAGGTACTTTAAAAGCTCAACATGTCCAAAATAATTCATGATTTCCTCTCTCCCCCGAAACCAGCATCTCCCTCAGTCCCCGTCTGTGAGCACCCCGCAAAGCATCTCCCATCTGGACATCGGCAGTAGCCTTCACTTCTTTCTTCTTCTCTCTTCCTCCCAATCTAGTCTCTGCAGTGGCCAGTGGTGCATGTAAATTGCAATCTGATGACATCCCTCTCTGCTCAAACCCTGTGCTTGTGGGATCTTGAACATGGCTGAGAAGGCACAGCATATTTGGCTTCTCCTACCCAGCTTTATCTGCTTACACTCTAGCCACTCTGGCCTTCCCTGGCCCTTCTGGGTCTCTAACAGGCCAAGTGCTTGCATTTCCTCTGCTTGGAACCCTCACCATCTTCTCCTTAGGATGATTTCCTGTTCATCCCCCAACTATCAGTTCAAATGTCACTTCCTCAGGGAAGCTGTTCTTGACCTCAAACTGGGTCATGTACACTATAAGCAAGCTCTCATAAAACCATAAGTATTCATCACAATTAACATTATACATTTATTTATAAAATTAAAAGAAAAAAGAAACTTAGTAGCTATATCTTCTGTCAGTCCGAAGGGGGCAAGGGGTCATGTCTGTCTGGCCCGCCACTGTTTACCCAGTCCCTCCCATGCGGAAAGGGCACACTAATACATGTTAAATGAATATCTCCATTGTCATTATTTTACAGCATTTTTTCATGACCCTGCTCTTACTTCACAACAAAAGGGAACCATCACTTAAACGTGATGGCTGCAAGTAACAAGTACCTCTGTGACCTTGGATCACAAGGGGAGAGAAACTCATAAGGAAAACTGGGCTCCGCAAATACCGGCCATGGGAACCCACACTGAAAGGGCCAGTACCCGTCCATGACTTAGAGCTAACAGGATGTTTGTGAGCTGTCGGAATGACACTCATCCTCTCCTTTAGAGGGTTCTTCCAATCACTCACTCATTAATTGATTCAAGCAACAAAATTGTGACTTTGAAATCCCAGACACTGGGGCCACAGTACAGGAGCAATACCAACGTGTAACAGATACAGGACAAGTGCAATAGGCAGTGACTGAGAAGGAGCCCTGTGCTTGCGTTTGGAGGAGGGGGCATGCTTAGGATAAGAAGGGAAGGTGATCCTGGAGAATGAATGGTATGAGTGAAGCAGGGGACAGCCAGAAAAACAGTCCAGGCAAAATGGGAACATTGACATAGTCCTCCAGGAGCTAATACCAACTACTACTACCAGTACCTCAGGCTGACAGCTAAGGAGAGAGGAAAAGGCTCACCTATGCAGTATTGTTTCCTCCAACTCTGTAGTACCTCTCAGCCTAGAGCATTCCTCACGGGCTGGAGAAAGAGTGGAACTTACAGAGAGCTCAGCTCTCTGCTAATGAAGTCATCATCTCCTCTACCCTTAATCACGCAGACGCATACAAATCAGTTATCTGGTTGGTCCAGGCTTTCCCTTTTTTCAAGGTGGGCTGTGGCAGTGGCAGGTGTACTCGGGGTCATTATCATGGGAAGGCAGGAGTGGGGTAAGAGGAAATGAGGCGCTCATCAATTCTCTTAAGTAAAAGAAATAATACTTTAAACTCTCAGCTGCAACACTTGGTTTTATTCTAGGTGCATTTTACTTAAACTATATCCCTTTGGTCTGTGAATTACTCAAGCTCTTACTCAAACTTTAACCTCTGCCTGGAGAATAGAAAAGATCAAATGACAGATTTCTTCCATATCCTCAGAGACGGTAAGAAAGGACAAGAAGGGGTAGAGTTTTTTAAATAGCAACACCAAAGAGGGGACTGGTGTGTTCTGGTATTATTATTTTGCAGATGTAGACACCATAACCAGTCAAAGGAAGATGGCCCAAACATTGAACATTTGGACTCAAACAGGAAAGTACGTTGACAGAGAAAAACAGGAAAGTATATCAGCATTTTACACTATCTGTTCTTTAATCTGAAACAAAACTCCAGGACAAAGAAAACATAGATATAAAATACAATGTGTATTTTATTTAATATATGCTTAAATGCCAGAAAATAAGCTACCTGCGTTGACAATTGTTTTCTATATAAATCTCTGCCAGAAAGACAAAAATCAGTATTAATTCAACAAATCAAGCTTTAATTAATGTTTTGGCTAACCTGAGCTAAAAGATTTACTTATGACATAGTGCTTTCCAGGAAGAAAAAATATCCTGACTCTGAAAACAATCTGATAGTTAATGTAAAATTTTAACCATATAATTATATTACTGTAACTGACTAGAAATTCAAGAAAATGTGTATAGGATGCCCAAAACTTAGAAACATATTAAAATAAAGTTGTTGTGTTTTTCTTTATAGGAAAGGGATTGCCATACCACCTGGTCTTACTGGTCTTGGTGTTCTGCCGAATGTAGTATCTGCTTTCTAAGAACTGTAAATTATTAGGTTATGCCCCTAAAAAATATGAGTGAAGAGAAAATATGGGGTGAGGATGACACCCTGATTATAAGTTTGTTTACTCAGGAAACACTAACATGGTGCCACAGCCCAACGTAGGTGAGTCTGGGTGTGAAATGGCTCACTCGGGCACCCGCTTAAGATGACAATGATGAAAAGGACAGGTTCACAAGAGTAACACGCAAAGCAACATAGAAGTAAACTTTCAGACTCGGAGACACCTCTTGTCAGAGCGCTTTTGATTCTAGTTAAGTTCAGGGAAAAAATAACAAAGCAACCCTGCCTGACTGGAAAGCAGAGACTGTTAAAAGACGCTTCTGAATAGTAGAGTGATGAATGGGGGCATCCACCTGGGCATGACCATATTTCATCTCAATTCCGTTCTTCTGTCCTCCAGCGGATCACTTTAATAGGTGTCACCTCAGCCTGTGCAGAGGCACCAGACTGAGGTGTAGCTCCTGGATTGCTACAAGAAGAGTTGTTTACGCTCAGCAAAGGTAAACACCAAACAACAGACTCCCTTCGACAATGCAGCCACCTGACTCCTTCCAATTTGGAATCTATGTCCAACCAGTTGATAAGATTTGTAAAGGAATATGCTTACCCGAATTATTTCTTCCACACAGCTGTTGGTTTCTCCAGATCTATTCTCCTGAAAGCAAAGGAAAAAAAAACAACACACAAATTAAGACTGATAGACTAGATTTATGGTTACAAAGAAAAGATGACACATAAGCTTCCAAATATAATAGCATTTGGATTTGGGGAAATGCCGGACATACCAATAAGCTCCTTCCCTTTATTGGATAGTGCCCATCATGGCTATGACTGCTGTCCCTTCCCCTACTGCGCACTGTGGGGGACAGACCTGTTGGGAACATCACACACGCCCGAGGTCAGCTCTGGGCCCTGCAGGCACAGGGACTCTAAGCCGAGCAGCTCCTAGGAGTAACAGTACACAACCTGCATAGATGCACTCCCTTTGCCTTGGGCTCCATCAAAATGAAGAAACATGGCCTCGACTGCAAAGTGTATCCAGTTCACCCTCCAGATACATACAATGACCCTGCCGAATACAAGGGTTGCTGCGGCTTAAGTAAAAGTCTGGTAGTTCCACTGTTCTCAAAGCCTCGATTTACTGATTTGATGGGCTGAAACCCAAGAGACCAAAGGAGAAACATCCCCTCAACATCCGCATGGCATGCTGGGCATCATCTTCCAGAGCCACGTGCTCCATAACCCACGCTGCCCTGTGCCGGGGAGATGTTAGAGGCTCCGAGGAATGGCAGCTTCAGGTCAGAGCTGACTCTGCGGAACATTTTACGTTCCAGGGATGCTGTGTGGTTACTGCTGGTTACACAGCCTGGAATGCAGGAGGTGGCTGTGTGGGGACATGAAAGCAGCACCTGTACACAGCAGGTAGAAGTGCCTACTGTCATTTCAGAGACAGACTTCTCTGGCCTTTTCATTCAATGATATTAACCAAAACTCAGCATGACATCCTAAGCTTTCCTCACCCTGAGTGGAGACCCCATGCCCATTAAGTAGGAACTCCCCCACTACTTCCCTTTCCCCAGCCCCTGGTAACCACTAATTTATGTTCTGTCACTGTAAATTTTTTTTTTATTCTGGACATTTCATATAAAGGGAATTATACAGTATGTGGACTCTGTGTCTAGCTGGTGTTAGTTAGGATAATGCTTTCAAGGTTTATCCATGTTGTGACATGTATCAGTACTTCATTCCTTTTTGTGGCAGGGTAATATTCCATTATATGGACATGCCATGTTTTGTTTGTCCATTAATCAGTTGGACATGATGGACATTTTGGTTATTTCTCCTTTGGCTACTGTGATAGCACTTCTATGAACTTTTGTGCACAAGTTTTTGTTTGGACACTTGTTTTTAATTATTTTGGGTATATATCTATATGTCAAATTGGTGGGTCCTATGGCATTTCTATGATTAGCTTTTTGAGGAATTGCCAAACTGCTTTCCACACTGGGTGTACCAGTTCACATTCCCACCAGCAATGTATGAAGTTACTGATCTCTCCACATCCTCACCAACACTTGTTACTTTCCATCTTGGTGTTTGACAGCAGCCGTACTAGTGGGTATGGAGTGGAGTATCACTGCAGTTTTGTTTTGTTTTTTATCCTCACCCAAGGACATTTTTTTCCATTTTTTGTTCAGATAGAGTGGGAGGGAGAGAGAGGAAGGGAGAGAGAGAAACATCGATGTGAAAGGGACACATTGAGTGGCTGCCACCCACATGACCCAAGCAGGGCCGGGGACAAACTGCAACCAAGGTACATGCCCTTAGTGGGAATAGAACGTGGGTCTCTCTGGACCGCAGGCCAACGCTCTAACTGCTGAGCCAAACCAGCCAGGGCATCACTGCAGTTTTGATCTGCATTTTCCTAATGACTAATGATGTGGAGCATCTCTTCCTATGCATGTTGGCCTTTTGCATCTTCTTTGGGAAAATGTACTTTTCCAATTTTTTAATTGGGCTGTTGGTCTTTTTATTGTTTTACTGTAAGAGTTCTTTATATATTCTGGATACTAGACCCTTTACCAGCTATATGATTTATATATATTTTCTTCCATTCTATGGTTGTACTTTCATTCTGTTGATAGTGTTTATGGATGTAAAAAATTTTTAACTTTGATGAAGTCCAGTTTATCTGTTTTTTCTTTATTGTTTTATTTTTGGTGTCATGGCTAAGAAACCATTGCTAAATCCAAGGTTATGAAGATTTACCCATTTTCTTTTAAGAGTTTTACAGTTTCAGTTTTTATATTTAGGTCTTTAATCCAATAGTTGGAGAACTTCTGGAAAACTTTATTTCCATATGGATTATTTGGTACATTTTAGTTAAAATAGAAACATTGTTTTTGTACAGATTATTCCATTCTAGTATCCTTACTGAAACATCAATAACAAAATGTGTAAGGCACTGTTGCTAATAGTGCAAGAACACAACATGCATGTTTATCCTTATAAATCAAGAAAAACTGTGTTAAACAAATATCATGGCAGGATTATGAATAATATTTCATTACCCTTTCCTACACCCACCCCTCCATCGTTATCCTAAAAGTTACAGTTTGGTGACATATATCTAATGGGTCCCCACTCCCATCCCCCAATGACATTCCAGGACTGCTTTGGAAACTTCACTGTTCTGATACTCCAATCAAATTGGGTCACCGAGCTCTTTTTGGAGCCCACTCCAAACCTACTTCCTTTCCAAGGCAGCCTGAGGTCACCATCACAAATGTTGCTGGTGACTCAGGCCAGGGCTTGATGGTCCTTTGAAATTATCTTTGGAGTTTAGTGGTAGGAATGAGTGGTCTCTTCAAACCCATAACCATTTCTCTTACTCTACTTCCAAGTCTCAACCCTTTCCTACCACGTAACATACTAGTACAGCAAATGCTACATTCTCAGTGTACTTTCTATTTTCCACCTTAAAACAATTAATCAAGGAAAGCTTGACTTCATGTTCTCCTGATGGACTCACCCAGACAATCCATGATACACTAAAAAGACTCTTCAAATTTATCTTTGGGTTTGATTCCTTAAAGCTAGGCTTCTCTTGAATATCACACTTTAATTTCATTTAAAGTGATTTATTTATATAAACGACAGGTTGCTCTCATAAGTAGCTCTCCCCATAACCTTATACATTTCCATGACCCCACTCTGAAAAGAAATACACTGAGAGAAATGCGGTGCAGATGCCCTGCTGACTGCTTCCTTCATCCCTCCAGACGGAGTATGAGGTTTGTCACATGGGGTCCTCCCAGTGGCAGCTCCAGTTGAGCTCTGATGGTCTGGAATGACATCAGCTCATTCTGTACTAGGAGCACCCCTTGCAAAGCTGAGGAAGTGAGACCAGGACAGGACTTCTAACAACAGTCTCAGGAAATCCTGGCCTGAAATTACAGTATGGAAAGTCCTTGGCATGGGAAACTCTTGGGCCTTCTCTGGAACATTTCTGACTCCTGGGACACCTGGGGACCTAAGAAGAGTACTACGTTGGGTTTGAATCTCCAGGACTCCATCTGGATTAGAGGGAATGCTTGAGGCACAGCATTAAAGAGTTTTGAATTAAAAGAAAACTTAGAACTCATTTTAGGCCACTCGGTGACTTTAGCAGATGGAGAAACTGTGGCCCAGAGAAGCGGAGGGCTTTGTTCAAAATCATCCTGGCAGCTAGGGGCAGTCAAGGCAGAATCCACACACAATTCTCCAACACTCAGTCACTGTATCTTCCTCACTGACCATCACAGGCATAGGCCAAAGGGGAGGTGACTGAAGAGGAAGTAGAGAGAAAGGATTAAAGCTACCATCCCTTCCGTGACATTAACAACTGAGAGACAAGGACTTGTGGGCTCTGAAACTGGAGGAAAGAATTCCCTCTTCTCTTCCAAACACATAAAAGAGAGCAGTAGGTGGGTAGGGCTGTGTGGGCAGGGTGTGGGGGTGAGGGACAACCGAGGGCCTTTCATTTATTTGAGGTATTTCTCAAATCTAGTTTCAGCTGCAGTTGGGTACTTTGAGTATAATTACATTTTAAAACTTTCAGTGTTTATAAACAAGATTAAGGCATGCATGTAATTTACATCTCCAAATTTGTGTTTATTTTTTCACAATAAAGTTACTGCTTTCCTTAGTAAGGTACCCACTGAGAAGAAGGGCTGCACAATGCAAATTTTAATTACTCTGGATTTTTTGAGGGTTTGTAGCTGTTGCTTCATGCTGAGTTGCTAAGCCGTTGCTCTTATTTACTTCGACTTTGATGAACCCACTCCATTTTGCTATCATTACATTTTGAAATCTGTCATAACAGTCTCACCTCATTGAATCTCCAACTAAACTTCAATTAAAAGCTAGAAACCCCAGCTGATTCTCCTCCACCGCCTTGTCTATCACATTCCTTTTTCACGGAACTGCTTTCCCCAAATCCTACCACTTAAGAATGCACACCACACACTCCGCCAGGGAATTGTAAGGATCTAAGTACAGCAGGTCCTCTAATAGTGTCATTTCATCCATCCTTTTGTTATAACATTGATGAAATGCCACAGAAACTTAACTCTTGTTTACATCAGTCTATGGTAAAATTTCATTATACATTGTTCCTCTTAAAGTCACAAAACCTATTGACAACTAAGTGAGGACTTAACTGTATAGCTCAAGAAATAGCCAGGAGCATTCATCACTGAGAGCAGAAGTCCCTAATTACCATGCCAAGCACAGAGCACTGGAAGAAGCTAGCAAGGCTTAAGGAAAAAATACTTGATCAAATCAGTGGGAAATGGCATTTCCCTGCAGAGAAGACAAAGCTGCATGGGTCTTATTTTTAAAAATAGCTTAACTCTTCATCAGACACATTTAATGCAGAACTTTCATTCTAAAATAATACTACTTTAAAATCACAACGCCTTTGTCTGCAAGCACTCAAAAGGCCCTCAAGCATTTATAAATCATTTACCATATGCACACTCTTAAATACTTCTCCATAAGTATTTTAAAATAAATCTTACTCTTCTGGATTTATAGAATACCTGAGATAAAAGGAAATGAAGTGTGCCATCAATGCCACCCAAGCAGTGGTGAGGATCTGAGTTCAAATTCAAGGACCATCCTAATTCTGTGTGAAGCTCATCCAATCAATGGCTGTGTCCCCAGCCTCACCTGAAGCTAGGAGAGCCTGTGGACAAGAAGGCAGTCAGCTAGCTCTCTTCCAAAGTCAGTCTGTCTTACACCCAACCTAACACCTCCCTTTCCAAGGGCTACTCTCTGCTCTCAATCACCCAAGCCAGAAGCCCAGCTTCAACCCTCACCAGTCCCCTTCCTCATCTCCTGAATATGCTCAGCCCATGGTGTCACCTTTTGCCCTGCCATTCATATGCATCTCTTCCTCTCTGATCCGGTCACCACATCTCTAGACATGTACACAATGAGAGAAAAAATAAACAAACAACAAAAATCAGAAAAGATGTATAAAAGCATATCATAAAAAATGCAAAAAAAAAAAAAAAAGACAGCAGACAATGGCAATATTAATATTCACTAAAAGACAGTTCATAGAAAAAAAAGAATCAGAGAGAACACAGGTTATTGTAAATGTAATACAATAAAATATTACGAGAGTTACTAGAAATTTAGTGAAATCTGTCCCAGGAATGGAAAATTAGTTTAATATTAAAGCCCTTTTAAGGTAGTATACATCACTAGGGGAAATATGTAAACCTGTGATCATCTTAGCTTACAAATTGATCACATACCTGGGAAAGTTCAAAAGACTTCACTGTTACTCTTATTAAAAGGGAGTTTAAAATGTGATTGGATATAAATCAGTCAGTCAAAGCTCAATAGCTCTTCTGTATAGCAGCAATAAATAATTTAAAAATATGAAAAAAAAAAAAAATCCCACCTATAATATCTAGAAAAATAAATGAGGAATAACCTTAACAAGAAATATTCAAAACCTTTAGGAGAAGTCTTCAGAATGCTACTGAAATATACAAAACAAACAAACAAACAAAAAAACCCACAAGACATGGAGGGACCTGGAGAGCATTATGCTAAGTGAAATAAGCCAGTCAGAGAAAGTCAAGTACCACGTGATCTCACTTATTTGTGGGACATGATGAGCAAAATAAGCTGTTGGCCAAAAGAGACCCAGAATCATGGAAGTAGGGAACAGACTGACAAACCTCGGAGGGATGAGGGGTGGGAGGGGTGGGAAGAGATAAACCAAAGAACTTATATGTGTATATGCACAACCAATCGACATGGACACTACGCTGGGGAAGGCAGGAGGGGGTTGGGAGCGGGAAGGAGGGGGTCATTGGGAAAAAAACAGGGACATCTGTAATGCTTTCAAAAATAAAAACAAACAAACAAAAACAACAAAAAAAGCAAAACCCTAAAAGGGACTGAGTTAGACTTCTTTAATACTTCACAACTCTAACATATAGTAAAAAGCCAAATAAATATCTTAAGAGAAATAAACCACAAACTGCATTAACTTAAAAAAAATTGAGATGAAAGCCACGTAATGGAGAACCAACCATTATAAAGTGTACAAGTCAGTGGCATGGATACATTCACAGTGTGTGACTCACAATCACCTCATCTCCACACTGGTATCTGCAAATTAGAGAACACTGCATCAGCCTTCTAGCAATAGGCAACATTGTTAAAGAGTTACTAATCGATTTTCTATCAGATTCTTAGACATAGGACAAGGTCTTTCAATTATGTTAATATTTTCATAATGAAAATTAGTGATCTCAATCAGAGCTTGTAGTTAAAAGTGCATTGGTTTCCAGAAAGTTAACTGGTCTGTCAGTGTGATGACCTTGTCAAAAGCTGTTGATGACATAAAGGGATTAGAGCCAGAGACAGTGGCCTTACATCCTGATCACTAATTGGTATTGAGTGCTTTTCCACAGAGTCATGTCTCAATAAAGTGCCTGAGTACTGTGTACTGGGGACCTCTTCCACACTGTCCTGTCAATGCTGGGGAAAGAAACCACAGAACAGGAATAATGAACACATGCTTCCCACTTGTAATATGACACTGACAAGAATACTTCAAGACCTCTGTGTTCTTTCATCTAAAACTGTCCGGTCATTACTCTTAGCGGGAGGAGGACCATGCAGGCTCAGGCAAGGGTGACGACGCTGAAGCTATTAAATCTTCATGGGACAGACTTTGGTGAGACTTCTAAAATGGACCATCCTTTTTAATATTTTCCTGAATCTCATCCTGCACCCAATCTAGCTAATCTAATATATAATATGTTATTTGTAGGCAGCTGAAGGCTTGCTATCACATAGCTCTTTTTTCCCTCAAGTAATGGAGGAAAAATATTCAGGAAAAACATGTTTGATTATCATTTAGAAGTGGGAACATGGTTTTCTTTTCTAATCATGGCGAGACTAACCCAATGTGGCTGAAGAAATTAACCAACTGCAGATGCTAAGGACTGCTCTAATTTGTGTCCCACGGGAAGACAGGTCATCAATTCTCTTTGGCCATGAGCTGGAATGGCTGTTGTAAAGGCCAGGAGTGGGGCTATGCATTTGGTAATATTCTATCTGGCGATTTTACTTCAGCATTTTGCTAAAACAAATAAAGGACAGATTCACAAATAACCCTTAAAATGTGATGTTATTATGACTCTTTTTTCTCCATTATCATATCACCTTTCCAAAAACTCAGGTCTGTCTGACCTCCAGAATAGAGTTCATTCTGTGTGTGCCTGACATCAACTGTTTTTCCGTACACACTCTCAGGAGATATGCTATAAATAAACGCTGAATAAAAGAATGCAATTGAAATCGGCTGGGGTGCAGGGGAGAAGGCTTACCTGAGTGGGTAGTGTTGGAAAACATGAGTGAGAAACTAGTATGTATTTTACTGGCTGGTGAAAATTCTAAAATACTCCAAGCTTTGTATTTTTAAACAAATCTATTTGCAATGCCACATGTAGGAATGTTCTTATTTTTTCGCTTTAAAAAAAAATGTGCATATTTACAGCATTTTCATTCTTGACTCACTATTATTCTTGGAAAATATTTGCAGGCTGATGGGAGGAGAGCTGTCCCACGGGCAATGGATTTTATCTTTTCCCTTCTACTCGCATAAAATGCCCAGTCCCTTCAAAACTGGCACGTGTCCCCAAGTGTAAGGCCCAGTGAGTTCATTCACTTGTGGATCTTGGGGTACCTGGGGCCGAACCTGCATGTCAGTCCACACATTCACCCTTTCCTCTATGAAGGCCGGCTTCAGAGGCCCCGGAAGTGCCTGCTAACCCTAAATTTCAATGTAAAAATTCACCAGATAAAATCATCCTTTATGGTGGTCCTTGCTGGGCAATTCAAGGGGAGAAGAGACACGTCTGCTCCCAGGACTGCCTTCTACCCCTATTCCAAAGCTTCTGTGTCCCTGTGGGAACACACTCTCTTATCTTCATACCCTCGTCACTATCACAAAATCCCTTAGACTGCAATCTAGAGAGAAAAACAAAGGTTTTAGAAAACCTAAGTCTGATAAGAAAGAAATCCCACATTTTAACTATGCTGAGATGATTATGGGGAGATCGCATTTGGACAGGACGCAGACATTCCCTATTCAATGATACATGACACGGAGTGCGAGGTCCTCCACATACAGGGAAGAGCTGGGAAAATCCATTTATTGGGTCGCTGTTTGGTTTCCCAACCTCTGGCTTCCTCGGCTTTTCTCAGCAGATGTTACAGCAGGGAACTGATCATAAGACAAGGTCTACACCAGGAATCTCTCTTCTGAATGGAGACAATTTTAACTGTGTTTATAAAAAAAGACTGGAAACCTAATTATAACACACCCAAGATTACGTTGGAACGATTTAATGAAAAATGATCATTTTGTGATTAATACCAACAAGAGCAGTCAAATTAAATCAGGAAGTATGAATGAAAATTAGTCAAGGCTATTTCTATCTTAAAGGCCTATAGAGAAAGCAAAAAAAGAATCACTCAGTTATCTATCAACCAACCGTTCTCTCCAAAATAAAACCAATAACTGATGTGCAATGTTTCCAGCCCTGGGAAAGGGGGTGATTTCCAGAAACCCCTTCCTTTAGGCTAAAGAACAAGGACACCCAGAACCTTACCAATCTTGAGGAAATAAATAATACAGACTAATTAATGGGACACACAACCGAAGGGGGACCCGAAAAGCCTGTAAGTCCAGGTAAAATGTGAAGCCACGAGAAGGCCGGCCACTGCTTAGATGGACGGTGTACAGTGAGATGGCACGAAGTCATTAGATGACAGAAAAGACCACGATTCAACTTCTATTGCACCTCTGCCGTCACAGCCAGATCCCTCTTCAAAGGTACAAAGAGTAGAACAAATGAAGAGGGAATTCACGCCCCAGCTGGGTGACAGTACAGAGAGAGCACTTTTAACCCCTCTCCATGGCCGCCCAGAAAATAGTGCTGTAATGGCCCTGAAGGCACTTGCTGACATGGTCACAGACTCAGAGAAACCACAGCCCTATCAGAAAAGGCAAATGCTCCAGCTCTTCCTAAGGGAGCATCCCCAAACTACAGACTTGTTTGTTCGCAGGGCCCCACAATCACAGCAGTGGCTGCAGGGTGCTGCAGGCAGAAGTGTGGGCTTCTAGAGATCCGGTCCTGCTGTCTGTCACTCGTGTCCCCCGGGGAAGTCACCTAACTTCTCTAGGCCTCCTCCTCCTCATTTGTAAAGTAGGAATAACAACAGCACCTACTAAATGTGAGAACTAAATAAGGGAAGTCATAAACACAGATGAGGCATTTGGCAGGGGGCCTTCCACATGACGGCTGATCACTAAATAAGAACAATTATTTTATTTTAGAATTACATAGAAAATATTTTAGTACGTAGAAAAGAATGCAATGATTACCAGAAGTAAACATGAAGTTCACAAAGACTGGGTGATGTTATCTCTATAATTTCCCCGGTTTAAAATATAATGCAGCTGCATTTTCTGCAAGGCCTCTGTCAAGATCTTATGAGATCTCTCAGTGGGTGAGGTGGGTGGAATGGAAATGTATGAATTGGTTGTGAAGATGGATAGATGGACTGGGAGCTAATGGAATAGCCACACCTGAGTATGTATTGTTCGGTTCAACAAGTACTTACAGAGTGCTTACTATGTGTCCAGCATGTTCTAGACTAGGGATTCATAACTAAATATAACATAAAAAACCCTGCCCTCATGGAATTTAGATTCAAAAGAAAGGAGACAGTAAAATAATAAACTGATTATACAATACACTGGAAGATAAAATGTTATGGGTGAGGGGACAGGGAATGTGGGGTGGGGTTTTATGTCTGTAATCTGTTCAACTGATGAGCATGATGTCTTAGAGACAAGATCTCGGCAAGGCTAGCCCCCCCCTTACCTCCTTCCCTACCTATAAAACTGTAGTGTTTTTTCCTTTCACTATGAGAATATTCTTCTTCTTAGTAATAATGATATGTTTAATGTTACCTTTGTTGCTGAGTTTAAAGCTCCATGAGTCTAGAAAAGGACAGACAGCAAGATTAATGAAGGGTCTGGCATGTGAGGGATAGTTGAAGAAAGTGGAGATCATCTGTCATAGGAAGTAGAAGAGATAGAAAAGCTAAACTATTTAGATGTCTTAATGTATTTAAAGGGCATTGTTACAAAAAAGGGTTTAAACTTATTCTGGGCCATTCCAGACATGGAAGTTTAGACCAATGGGGGCAAGTACAGGGATCATTTTAGCTTCCTAAAAGTTCATTTTTCAGAATTATAACTATCCAAACAGAAAATGGGTATGATTGATTACATGTCCAACCAGAAATGAAATGACTATTTGAGTGGAAGTTAGTTATTACCTCGCTTCTAAGTGTGAGATTCTTTCTTACTTTAAGACTATAATTTTGGTCATTTCCAACCAATATTTGATTAGTAAAATGTTGAATGGTAAGTTTCTTTATCTTCTGGTTTAGTACAGTCTATAAAAGTTATTTGTGAAGTAAACCCCTAAAAAAGAATATTCTAAAAGTACCAATCTACGAGCATGGAATAAGACCTATTGGAATATCCAATGAGTTCAACAAACTAATTGAGTAAAGATTTGAAAATTTTTAATTAATAATAAAGCAATAAAAGTATTCAATATGAAAATCTATTACACCTGTTTACATTAGTTAACTTCAAGCACTTCAGTTCTGTGTGCTTCTAATTAGCAAGCTATAAAATATGCCATCCATGAAAACATAATGAGAAGCACGTTTATAATAATAACTGGTATTCATTTTCACAGAGAGAGCATACATGGCTACAGGTTGAGCAAATAAAGGGTTACACTAATTATTGAGAAAAATACATAGGGAGGCAGTGTTTATCATACATTCAACCTCACAATGCAAAGCCTCATCTTAGAAGATACATCACAGCCCTGGTAGATGTGGCTCAGTTGGTTGAGCATCATCCTGTGCACCAAAAGGTCGCTTGTTTGAGTCCCCATCAGGGCCCATGCCTGGGTTGCAGGCTTGATCCCCAGTCTGGGGTGTGCAGGAGGCAGCTGATTGATGTTTCTCTCTC